CGATATTATCGTACAGAGCCACATGTCCAAAGATGCCATAGGTAACTGTCCAGGATGATTGTTCTTCGTTGTTTAATGGCTCGTAGAAGGTCACCGGTGTTCCGCAGTCGGTATTGGAAGCCTGACACGCCAAAGAGTGAACGATTCGCAAGCTACCTAGCTTAGTACAGGTAAACGTCTCACCTCTGACCAGCCATTTTTGACATGCATCGAATCACGAAAGCACGTAGAGACTAAGGAAACAAAACAGAACGATTAACTCTAAGTCACCGTTGATGGCGTTCGATGTTCATGCATGGTAGCCTGACAGAAGACAGAGAAGAAACTGAGAGTCAAAATAAATTTAACAAAAGCGTTTCAGATTCTGGGTCCGTTGTTGAAAGTGTAGATTGTTCGCTGATTCATGTTTTAAGGTACCAAAGAACAACACAGATGTTAGAAGCCGATTGCCGATGATCTTCACTACAAACGGAGTAGCATCATCAGAGCATTATGTCGATATGACAGGCAGCAGGCCGCTTCCAATGTACAAGAACACAATTAAAAAATTTTAAAATCAGTGGCAGATTAATGCCAGATTTTAATCCGCACATACCTAACTTTACATTTAGGTTTTCGATTTTAATTCCAACCACTCTTCAGCCGCTACAAAATTTTTCATTAAGTTTGAGAGAGCGCTCTAGCATTTATTTATCACTACGGAAGAGGAGCATTCATTGCACATGCAGTGTTTCATTGCCAAAATGTGCAGGGGCTCCTCTATTAAAAGACCAAACCTGAATTGGTCCACATTCGTCGGATTCAAGGAACATCCCTCAAAAATGGCGTGCTGCACAATACCACGTTGTCAGCCTGTTTGAGGCAGTAATACTCTTCAATCCTGATGTTCAATTTCCCATGATTCTTCTCATAATGTCTATCTTATCATAGTTTCCGCACTTGAGGCTGTACACCACATTCAACACCTCTTCCAGCTGCTAGGTACATGCTTCTTGAACAATATTATCCCCAAACTCAGCCGATCTTTCAACACACCTTGAACGCATGTTATTCGCAAGTATCTTCGACTGGCTCGGATATCTGAGGTATGTATGGTCGGACTATCATAGAACTGTTCTGACATGGCTTCATCAACAGGTAACTGTGATGCAATAGTTCACGGTTCAGTGTTCTCCTGGAGTACCCATTCTTCAAGAATGTGATAGAGATACAGAATTTGACCTTCTAAAGCGGAAGCGTTGCTGCAAGTTTCCTGCACGCGTAAACAAGTGCCCCCCCCTCGATGTTCCTGAAAAGAACGGGCAGGAAACCATAGCTCAGCTGTAAGTAACTGTTGGAATAAGACGGTTTCCGTTAAGCGGACACCTCGAATTCAAGCAGTGGTTTTCTCTTCACAAGCACATCCAGGAATGGTAAATTCTCGTTCACTTCAGCTTCGGTAGGAAACCGTATTCGACGGCTGACATCGCGTCCATTCATACACTTTACGACACTTTTCAGTTGCTCCAGTAAGTTGTTCTTTCTTCAAAAATAAAACTGTCATATGTTATTTTGGCGTGGTAGTGGGTATTTATTAAGGGCCTGTACTCCAGGCCATCCAGACAGAGATCAGCCAAAACAACAATCATTGAGGAGGCCATTGGAACGCCATATTTCCAGAGACAAATGTTGCTCGCAAATGTGAAATTTTAACGTGCCATCAAGCTGGGTAAGATTAACATCAGATACTCAGTGCTGCAGTCCCAAAGCACTCCTATTCATGCGTCACTCGTCGAATGTATTTTCAAAAATGTCTGCTGGGGGGGGACATCAGCCAGCGCGACTGTTGCCATATTACTGAAAGTAGCAGTGACGTCCACAGAAGTCATGAAGCTTTCTTGGCGTGAACATTTTTTCCACCCGAGTAAAATTCGTATCCATCTTTCGTTGTTAGCCGCGAGTTTTAATTACTAACCGAGTGCTTTGAAATGTGTATCGTCGTGAACCCGTTGCTGGGGTGATCAGCCGGAATGGATGCCTGGTTTATTAAGCTTCGCCAATAATAATAAGTCTGGGTTTGCAGC